ACAAAAGCGTAGCATATCGAGCAGATCCGAGAGGTTTCCTCTATGAACCATCGTGTCTAAATGATGAAGATAGCTGGGAACTGTTCCATAAGGTAGCAATTGTTCAAAGGGTGCAACCATATGGAGGTAACACAAACGTCTCATCTCATGCTTAATAATTTCTAGATTGTCATTTAAATTTTAGTACTACATTTTTGTGCATTCACAAAATCTGTAGCATTTCAACCAATCTAATAATGCTTTAGTGTTGCCCACTATAGTACTATCATTTGGAAACATTTGAAACTGAAACAAAGTGTTTTATTAGATTTTGTGACAGGACTATTTACCTTCTAGTTGTTTAGTTCTTGGCTAGTTGGTGGGTTGATTTAGGACTAGGCTATTGGCCCTCCAGTGCTTGTGTAGCTATTGAGTACTCAACTCTTTGTTGATAACATAGGACTAGGCGATTGGCCATGGATTGGTGGGTTAGCTCTTGGCTCCCTTGGTGGCTTAGGTTGGGAGTTCTCTTGGCAAATCCACATTTGATTGTGGTAGGCTTGTAGCTATTGGCTACTTGAAGCTTCTTGCTTCAAGCTCAATTATAGACCAAATAACTAATTGACTAATTAATGCATCATAGCTATTAATTAGTCAGCCGACATTTTGGTGATCGTCTAGATCTCCAAAACTCTAGGCTTGAGATTTCTAGAACTGTGTGGAGATTTATCTCAAAAGGGCTTATAGAAAGTTGTACATGAGCTAGGGGTACTTTTGTACAAGTAAAGTACATAAGCTAGGGTATACTTTTGTACAGGTAAAGTAATTAAATCTCTTAGTCCCTAATAGGTCAACTATACAAATTAAATAATAAATCTTCTAATAAAATATACATCTCATAACAACAAAGAGTGCTATATTATAATCCCTAGTTTGTGCTTATAGTTTGATCTTTGTTGTATTCTAGATCACCCAACAGCTACGGGGGCAAAAAATTCTGAAAATCCTTTAATAACGGTGGAAAGCATGGAAAAACTTGGGAAAGAAATGGTAGCACATTGTCGTGGTCTGCCGCTGGCCATCATTGTGCTTGGAGGTGTTTTGGCAACAAAACATTTCATTGATGAATGGGAGACAGTACATAAAACTATCAAATCACACCTGAAAACAATCAACGGCGACCAGAGAAGTGCTGAACTTGGAATTATGGAGGCGTTGGCACTAAGTTACGATGATTTGCCATATCAGTTGAAACCATGCTTCCTTCATTTAGGCCAATTCCCAGAGGATTTTGAAATGCCTACACGGAGACTAATCAATCTGTGGGTTGCAGAAGCCATGATACCAACTCAATCATCAAATGAAAGAGAGAACGAGGAAACATTAGAGGATGTCGCATATCGTTACTTGACAATGTTGGCAGAAAGGTATTTGGTTCAAGTGGAGAGAAGAAGTTCAACCGGAAGGATTAAAAGTTGCCGCATGCATGATCTTATACGAGAACTATGTTTGACAAAGGCCAAGGAGAATGATTTCTTCCAAATCATAGAACTTCGTGACAGTAACAGGAAAATGGAGTTGTTCTCTTCCCCAATAGTTAACAGACCAGTTTCAATAGGTAGGATGCGGAGAGTTTCCGTTTATTTAAAAGATTTTAGTGGGTTTATCTCTTTGGGAACTGAAGAATGTCCTCCGGTTAGGTCTCTATTGGGATGCAGCAACAACATATATAGTGTAATAGGTCAGGAGCTGATTGAATCCATAGTCAGCAGGTTCAAGTTCCTTAGAGTCCTAGATCTTGAAAAGATTCGAGGATTCGAAATACCAAAAGGAATAGGGAATTTGATCCATTTAAGGCTTTTGACTGTAAATTCTGCTTGGACAGGTGTGCTTTCATCATCTATAGGCAACTGGAAATTCTTGTTGGCCCTGTACATAGATCCAAAAACGTCGGCAGAACTAATTCCAGATGTGATTTGGAAGATGAAAAGATTGAGGCATTTGTATCTTCCAGTGCAGTATGGCAGGTGTACCAGGAAGTTACAGTTTGCTAATCTCAATGACCTGCAGACCTTGAAAAACTTTCCAGCAGAGATAGCAGATGTGAAGGATCTGACCACACTGCCTAATCTCAGAAAATTGGTAGTACAAATACCTGATGACAGCAAGCTCGATGAGTTCATGGCAATCTTCCAACCACCATTCACATTTAACTATCTAAGATCGTTGTCAGTAGATACTCGGATGAATGCTAGAACAAATATAGATGTTGCAAAAATCAGATCATGCTGTCCTCACCTCGAGAAGCTGAAACAAAATAGAAGGAAAATCTTCCTGAAGTACCAGAATACTCTCCAAAAGACTACATCTTAGGGTGAAGCTTCCAGAAGTATTACTAGATTTTATTTTGAACATCACCTTTTCGACGCTTTTGTACCTGAAAATTGAGGAAGACTGATCATGCCCACTCCAGGGAAGCTGCCTGCCTTAGCTTGACAATCGTCTACTCATGTCCGTTTGTCGATCAGTTAAATTTGCTCGAGCTACTTTTATTTGTTCTCCATATATATGTGGTTATGGGGTCTAGGATTTGTCTGTGGTACCTGCTGTGGTTTTTCTGTTTGTTTTTATGTTATTTTTCTCTGTTGGTTTGTTTAATGTTGGATGGTCATCCTTATTTGTCTGTCAATGTTTCATGTTCTGTTTTTTATGTGTCAATGTTTCATGTTCTTTTTTTTTATGTGTCAATTTTTCATGTTGGTTTTTTTATGATTGAAACACCGGTGTGAAAATAATGAGTATCCGATATTTTATTGGGAAAGTAGGCCATTGTTAACTTTGGTAGACTGAAATGCTAAAATGTGGTCTACTTAAAGATTCCATTTCTATGAGCCATACTTCAATCATCTTATGAAAATCTCCAGTGCATATTAGATAATAAGATAATAAAGTGGATGAGGAATTAAAGTATATCATAATTTCCCATATGCTCTGGAAGAGCAATAAAGTGGATATAAACACAAAATTTGATTGTCTTTTGAGATCAAAGTTGGAGTCATGATTTCGAGGCCATTGAATTTAGAGACTCGATGATAATGGCTTCACCAAGTGTCATAACTTTGAGCTCCACTCAGAAAGAAGCAGCTTGATGATTACAGATTAATTAAGAAGCAACACAAGATGTGAGTTTGATCGAAATGACGAATCCTTCGTATGCAGAAGGCTTCCCAGATTAACTTCATTAGCATTTCTGTTGGGTTTTTAGAAGAACAATAAAGTGATTTTATTTATTCAACAATAGATGAGTACAAGGCTTTATAGAAGACTGGGGCTTTCTACAACTAGAAAATGTTTACTAGGCTTATTGGCCTCCTTCCTATTTTCTGGCTTATTGGCCTCTTCTCTCTTACTACTAGTTTACAATATAATAGTATTACCTTATTACAAGATTTTTATTAGGACTTTTCTAGAATGCCTACAATAATTACGTCTTAAAACTTGACTTTGTCAAAGTTGGTGGACATTTCTTGAGGTTTCTACTTTTTTTTTCTAGATTTTTCTAAATTCTTCAAGACAAGTGTGCATTAAATTTAACAATTTCACTTATACATGTAAATGCCAAGTGAGATCAAGGAAGGAGTCTGCACTGCAGGGGATAGTGATTCCACCCATGGGAGAATCATATCAAATATGATATCGGAATCACAAATCCCTTCTTCTGGCTTCCCCCAACATACACCTCAAAATAGTCTTTCGGGATATCTAAGGTCTTTGAGGCAGGTACGTGGTTTAGACTTCTCTTTGCGTTAACAATTCCTGGCAACCGGAACCCCATGGTGCTAGATTTTTAACCGGAACTAGAACAAGAAAACAAATTCAATGGAGTTGGGAAACAAAGAAGGCTTGGAGGGTTTGCAAGGAGAGACTTGAGTTGATCATGATAAAGCTGATCTCTGATGTATATATAGATGAAAAGCTGTGCCGAAATTAAATCATCTGCTACATGAAATGAGTGGAGGGTAAGCCGAAATTAAATCGTCTGCAACATGAAATGAGTGGTGAAGAGGCACAAGTGAAGGACACTAGGTTGTGAGCAATCAAGAAATCAAATGGTTTTGTCTTCCTACTCCCCTAAATCATCATTATGTAGAAACATAATTCCCTAGAGACAAGAAGGGACCACCAGAAGATAAACATTTTCAATCTGGTAAGTAGTCATCAAAGATTATTATTAGATAAGAAGCATACTTGATCGATTGAACGAATTGGAAGACTGATTAATAATTTGTGGATTAGGTAACCAATTCATGGCTTCTTCTTTGTTATTCAATTCAACCTCAATCAAGAGAAAGACCAGCACTGCACTGCGTCTGTTGTGGTCCCATTCAGAACTAATACAAAAAAGCTTGACCATATAAACAAAATAAGATAGTTTCTTAGCTGTTGACTATGGAAATAAGGGATGAAAAACTCCAAAGCCACAAATTCTATGGTTATTCATGGTTCTTGTGGGAACTGAATTAAATCAAAACCCTAGGTCAAATAATTCCTTCCATTTAGGGATTATTTGACCTAATTGGGAGTTACTCAATTTAATTGGGAGTTACCCAATTAAATTAGGAGTTACCTAATTAAAATTGGGATTGATTTGATTCCTACCCCAATTAGGGATTTGATTTAAATCAAATAAATCAAATCCCTAATTAATCAAATCTCGCCTAATCAGGGAGGAATAATTCCTTTCCATCTACGGAATTATTCCTCTGAAACCCTAGCCTCCGAGGCTCCTATAAATACCTAGCTACACACGAGGGTTCATGTACGTCTAAATTCCTACTGGAACTCTGTAGAAATTCTCTCTCACAAACCCTAGCCACTATATTCTTTCTCTCTCTCACAAGGCTCCGGCCACCCGGTTTTCCTTGAAACACCCAACCTAACTTAGGCATCGGAGGGCCTTTGGCCAACACCCCCCGGGTGTGGTCCTTTTACTCCGATCTATTTTGCAGGGAGAAGGAGACGGTGGCGAAGGAAGTGGAATCTCAATTGAATATTCTCGTGGGAAGAAATTTGCTCCCACAAATTGGTGCTTTCATTGAGAGCGCGGAATTATACTCAAAGCGTGCTCTAAATCAATTTTCCACATTTTTTTCCAATCAATCATGGTCAATACAAGACGTACGAAGAGTAACACCACCACGACGGGCCCGTCTCATGGTTTCGTTGTGGAAACTTCTCTACAACCTCACTGAATCGTGGCTGCCAACGCCTTGCGTTCCCCTCCTAGCGCTTTGCAGCCACCTCCAACTGCTGGAATTGCAGAACAGCCGCCGCAGACAGCTGTTGGAATTGCAGAACAGCCGCTGCATGGTCCCGTGACTTCCAAAGCCTTGCAACCGCAAGCGCCAGTGGCCGAAGATACTCTGCCGCGCCATCCTGTCGTCAGAACACAGCAGCAGCCACACCACTTAGCTGTTAGATTTGCTGCACAGCCCCACGGCTACTTCGACGCTATCCCAGTCTTTGAGCAAATCCATTCTCTCCCTCCTCTGCCACCACACTTGACGTATGCACCTGTGTACGCGTCTAATGGAGCCCTAGCCCATATGCCATTGGGCCCGATGCACACCTCTGGTCAGGTGGACCTTAACTCACGGGTTGATCAGCTCACACAAAGAGTCGACGATCAAAACAACCTGATTGGCCAGCTACTCAGGCAGATCAACTTGAACCAAGGCCCTAACCTTGGACCCCGTGACGAGGAGAGGAGGACGCATGAGCATGCCAACAAGCAGTTTGAGAGATCCCAGGCTGGTCAGACATGAGCAAATGGGTAGGGGAGAGAACAAGATCACACAGCCGAGACGCAGACATCTGCAAGTCGTACTCTGAGCCGGTCGATGATCCGTTCGAGGTTAGGTCCAAGGACCAATGTACTCGAGAGGCTGGGCCCATAGTCCAATGTCCACGCTCGCTTGGGCCCACAAGGAAGTATCCAATATAGGTTGGGCACACAAGGAGCTCGAGTTCATGAATGATTGCGTGATGAGCGCAACGATCGATGCTCACCAACTCGCTCAAGGACCAACACACAGCGGCAAGCTGTAGAGGACTCCTCACAAGCTCAATCTCCTAATATGCCCCACGGGCAGAGCAATCAAGGGGATCGGCCCTTGGGAGTTGAGGAGGAAGTTAACCAGCGGCGCTCGAGGCACCAAAGACGTCGACCTGAGCCACCAGCCCTGCGGGCAGAAGATGTCGAGAAGCTAGTAAATGACCGACTCCATGGTCTCCAACTTAAAGGAAGCATGGAGGAGGCCCTGCGCAGGGACGTGGATCGAGTCGACTGCTCGCCCTTTACCGACGCGGTGGAACGAGCTCCGCCGCCGAAGCGGTTCAGAATGCCATCCATCACTCCGTTCAAGGGAGACTCTGACCCTGAGAGCCATTTGATCCTGTACAAGGCAGACGACGCCCTGATGTGCAAAGTGTTCGCAATGACTCTGCGAGGAGCAGCTCAAGACTGGTTCCACACTCTATCGCCCGCGTCGATAGGCAACTTCAAAGAGTTCGCCCTCATCTTCACAAAGGAGTACACCTCCTACAAGATGGTCAGAAAGCATGCAGACCACTTGTTCAACCTGCGCAAGAAACCAGACGAGTCTCTTCGAGACTACCTCAGACGGTTTAAGGCTGAGAGGGTGAACATCATAGGGTGCAATGACCAAGTTGCTTCCTCAGCTTTCAAGAAGGGCTTGCCAACTGAACACGAGCTATACCGTGAGCTGGCCATAACTCCGAGCCAAACCTTGGCAGAAGTCTTCATGACGGCAGAGCGCTACGCACTCTGGGACGATGACCGTATCGCCACGAAGAAAGCTAGCAAGCAAGCTGATCACCCAACAAGGCAGGCGAGCCAAACGAGCAACAAGTTCGAGTACAAAGCCCGAGACAAGCGCAAATCGCGACCCCAAGAGGGAGGCTCGGAAACAGGAACCTTCACTGAGTTCACTATCCCAATCCTCCAGATCCTGGCACAAGTGAAGGACAAGCCGTGGGTGAGAAGACCACCACCCATGAGGGGAGACCCCTCTAGGAGGGACACCAGTAAATACTGCGCATTCCATGGGGAGCACGGTCATTACACAAACAACTGCAATGCTTGTAAAAGGCACCTTGAGGAGCTGGTCAGAGACGGCCATTACACGGAATTCGTTGCAAAGAAGGCCATCCAGTAGATCGAGGATCGTGATGCGGCTGCCAAGGAACCTCCCCAAAAGGTCATACGGATCAACACCATTCTAGCTGACTCCCAGGAGTCCGGGCTGACCACCAAGGAGCGCAAGAGAAAGATCGTGCAGACGACTTATGTCTCCCAAGTCACAACGGGCATACCAGTCATTGCAGATACACCCATCATCGGCTTTCAGAAGAAGGACTTGGTCGGGCTTGATCTCCCGCATAATGACGCCCTAGTAATCGGCATCCAAATTGAACAAGCTGCAACTATCTGTTATCCAACAGATGGGATTGGAGCCCAAGATCAGCAAGCTTGCCAGATCGCTCACCGGCTTCAATGGGGCCACGTCAATCACTATTGGAACAATTGACCTTGACGTCCACTCACCCCCAATGGTCTGCTTGCAAACCTTCATGGTCATCGACGAGGTCTCTCCATACAACGGAATCTTGGGCCGACCTTGGATCAGTAAGATCGAAGCCATCACATCTGCTTTACACCAGAAGATCCGTTACCCCATCCCTGGGGGCGGGATCGGGCAGATCAACAATGACCAAGCTATGGCGAGGAGATGCACAGCGCAAGGGCTCAAGAAGAGCAAGCAGGTGCAGTTCACACTAGTAATGTAGTCTACTGACGTGGTAGGACACACTCCCAGCAGACAAGCAAGCCCGAACCGGAGGGGAGTTGCTACCTCAAAATAGCAATTAAGGAGCCAGGATCAAGGCGAGGGAATCCGCCCGGAAGACTCTCCTGAAAAGGGTTGGAAGCCTGAGGATGACGTTGAGTTAGTACCCCCTGATCCTGGCCCGCCAGACAAAGAAGCGCAGATCGGCTCGCGCTAGAATCCAAACGAGAAGGATCGAGAAGAGGGAATCCGCCCGGAAGGCTCCCTTGAACAAGGTTGGAAGCCTGAGGAAGACGTTGAGTTAGTAACCCTCGATCCTGACCAGCCAGACAAAAAAGCGCGGATCGGCTCGCGCCTAAGCCTAGGCGAGAAGGTGGAGCTGACCGCCTTCCTCCAAAAGAACAAAGACATGTTCGCATGGTCAACACTAGTCGATGACATGCCTGGCATCGACCCGAACATCATTTGCCACCGACTCCATGTTAACCCTGCCAGCAAACCCGTGGTGCAGAAGAGATGCAACTTCGCTCCCGAGCGAGTTGCAATCATCGAAGCCGAGATCGATAAGCTTCTAGCTGCCGGCTTCATTGAAGAGGTCTCCTACTCAGAATGGCTGGCCAACGTTGTACTAGTGGCAAAGCAAGAAAATGGCGAATGGAGAGTTTGTGTCGATTACACCGACCTCAACAAGGCTTGCCGAGAATCGATCAGCTCGTGGATTCAACTTCCGGCAATCAGCTGCTCAGCTTCATGGACGGACGCCTACTCCGGCTATAATCAAATCCTAATGTACGAAGATGACAAGGAGAAGACTTCTTTCATCATAGAAAGAGGGACCTACTGCTACAAGGTCATGCCTTTTGGGCTGAAGAACGCCGGAGCAACCTACCAAAGGCTCGTGAATAAAATTTTCAAGGAGCAGATCGGTAAGACCATGGAAGTCTACGTGGATGACATGCTGGTCAAAGCCCCTAAGCGAGCAAACCACATCAAGAACCTCACTGAGGTGTTCAGC